TGAAGATCGGAAAACACCTACGATGTGGTTTACAACAAGAAGATCATACACTCTCTATCTCCGGTTAAACAATCCGAGAGAGTACAAGAAGATATCAAAGGAAGAAGATATATGGCACGAACTAAGCCTAGAACTAGAGACAACACCTCTCTATCAAGCTTACTCTATCTCTCTCTATGAGATGTCATAAAGCGCTCGAAAGCGGCTTAGGTCAACTAAGAAGCGATGCCTCTGTTTTATACTAAAACAGAGTCGGTTGCTTGTCTAGCAAATCCTAACAACTCCACACGTATCGACGAGCGTGTAGCCAATTAGAACACTCCTTGAGAGACTCTAACTCATCCAATGTCTTTCGCTTCATGCCTTTAGTTAAACATTATGGCTCCTTTAGTGTCTTCAACACACTTAGCCAAATACCAGCACCAATACTTCTTATGAATTAATCTTCCCTCTACGCTGTTGACATCATCAAAGACCAGCACCAGTACTTCTTATGATTCTTCTCTTCTCTTCATAGTCGGTCTCCTTTTCTGTCTCAGTAACATACGTCGCCTTGGCCGGCGACTTCACCGCCATAAACTGAGTCGTATCAATCTAATTGATTCTAGAGACCTTAAGACTACCCAAGTCTCTTATTCCTCCAAGTTAGATAGGATTCTAACACATGAACGGAGACTTCAACAAACCATGAAACCCTCTGCGTTCTCATAGAAACTTCACCATAATTTACCAATCCATCAATCGGTTTCTTGTACCTTCCGAGATCTCGCAGTGTCTTCGTTGAATCCGTGAATCAAAGAGCCTAAGCTCTGATACCACTTGTTAGGGATTTATACTTGAATCCCGTCCCAAAACGAATAATCAATTACAGATATTAAACACACATAGTTTATTCACCCTGAGTTCACCGAAGCTACGTCTCAGGGGTGGAGACTCTCCTCCACAACTGCATCCACTATGAAGATCTGAAAACACCTCCGATGTGGTTTACAATAAGAAGATCATACACTTTTCTATCTCTGGTTAAACAATCCAAGAGAGTACAAGAAGATATCAAGGGAAGAAGATGGCACGAGCTAAGCCTAGAACTAGAGACAACACCTCTCTGTCTAGCTTATAATATCTCTCTCTATGAGATGCCATGAAGCGCTCGAAAGCGGCTTAGGTCAACTAAGAAGCGATGCCTCTGTTTTATACTAAAAACAGAGTTGGTTGCTTGTCTAGAAAACCCTAACAACTCCACACGTGTCGACGAGCTGTAGCCAATTAGAACACTCCTTGAGAGACTCTAACTCATCCAGTGTCTTTCGTTTCATGCCTTTAGTTAAACATTCTGGCTCTTTTAGTGTCTTCAACACACTTAGCCAAATATGCTTC